ATGTCGACAAGTGTGGACTTGTGTGAAAATGCGTTTTGCCTTTACAGTAGGTGATCCAACTAATGACAGAAATGAAGGTAATTGTTTTGATTTACCACAGACGCCTCCGCATTTCAGGTATTAGCCTAGCGGATCATTAAAGTGCCTTTTTTTCTGTCAAAGAACCACTTTTTAAGTAATTTTACTGACGGAATAAGGTGCAGTTCTAGAAAGAAGTCAATCCTTCATTATACCCAAACAATTTCCAGAGCTACTTGCAGCCGCAGACCGCAACTACATATTCACACTTGCCCCTCTAGCAGAGGGCATTAATCCATACTAGAAAGACGTAGCAGCTTTAAACTAGGGATATTCCGGTCGCGTAGAGATCAGGTGAAACAACGTATGAGCAACTGCACTATTTTTTTAGAAAAGGCAGAAACACTTCCGCTGTTTAATGGGTGATATTATGTGCTTTAAAACACGACAGTGACTTCAACAGGCAATTATTTGTTTCACTATGCCCTGTTATTTCTGGGTATATGCAAATATTCGACGAGTAGCCGCTAAGAGGCCGACTACCAAGTAATCAATTTACCGTTAGAGTTTACGTTAAGGTGTCTTTGGGTCGAAACTGGTACCACCTTATTTGTAAACGAAAATAAACGGTCCACAGTAAAGAGAAAAATTAGTTTACTTTTTCGCTGATGGCAGGGAGATGTGCGGGAACGACAAGTATTATAATTCATCCTTCCCGACAATGCCTTGGAAAAAGATGAGGTGTGTAAATTAGACTGAAAAAATGTCCTAGCACAGCAATTTTGAGGAAAGGACTTGACATAGAAGGTTATTCATTTGGTCGCAGGTCTCCGTCAGGGACTTCTATTTTCTTTGCCAGTTATATTTCATATGTAAGTGCACGGCTAAGGTCCTAGCTACCATCGGCAAAAAGGGGAATGTCGGGGAACGCATTACGTAGGTAGAAGTACCCAAGACTTACCATACTTTGGGATACAATCTGCAGAATTCATTCTGGAGCAGTTGACTGAGAGCACCTAAAACCGCACAGTATTCTCTAACATCCGAAAGACGTCATTAGACGTAGCAAATTTCATTATCGCCAAAAAAGTACACGCTAAATTTACGGAGACAAAAATCTCCTGATTTATGGCGCGTGACTTTGTGAAGGTCTCCATTCTTGAGACGTCCCCACCCAACAAAAAAGTATATTAACATCATCTCGCAGTGTAAACACAAAAACACCGATACATCGATAAACACAAGTCACTCGGCTGGCTATCGTGCCGCAAATTATCCAAATTTTTAGAGGATGTTTGAATATATAGTTATCTAAGAGGTTTTTGAAACGTTGCGCTATCGATTTGTGCACATCCGTATGCATTTTTCATGGCCAGAAATGAAGGTAGTTTATGTGATCTTCGTGTGTCGCATTTTCAATATTCTTTAATAAATAAAAAAGATTATTGCCATCGGAAAAAGACAGTTGTAAGACCCACTCTAACCTCCCTGCACTATTACACAAGGCAACCTGGCATATGGGTTTTTATAAGAGAAAACGTAGTGCTCTAGGATATATACACAGATGAAAAGACCTAGTTGCACCGTACGCTCATTTTAATGTTAGGGCACTTTGTAGGCAGATAGTTTATGGGGCGTACACACATCCGAGCTTAGACGAAATTTCCAGTCAATTCCCCATAATAATTTGTTTTTTAAATTTTCCGAAGGGTCCTCGCATCAAAATCAGTATTCTTTTACTGATGTCTTCGTGAAACTTTTTACCACTTGCATCACCGACTGCACACATGTGTCCCTGGAACCGACATTTGGAGTTTAAAACTAATAAGCTTAAATTGAACAAACGAGCAGACGTCGAATGAAATAGACTAGGGCACAGGGGGGTCACTGTATTAGCACGAAAGACCGAAAACCAGGCAACCGTTTGCAGCCAAAAGTATAGTCCCAGTGAAAAGCCGTCCTCTGTATTTGCATTTATGGAATTCCTTGTAATGATAGAATAATACACCCGGCTGGGATGAACTGTTTAGTTAGATCAGCCTCGAAAGACTGGGAACAGATTGCGAGCGCCAGAAACACATATATATGTATATATTTACGGTATACCGATTTAAATGGAAAAAACACCACGGAAATAGGCAAATATACCGAAGACAAATAGGATCCCAGAGTAGGGGATTTAAGAAACAGACTGGATTGGCATTTTGGCGCAAATGCTACTAGTTACACCCAGCACGGACTACACGGCTCCGCACCACGGAAGCACTAACTCGGGTCATGAGAACTGGTATCTGCCATTTATCTAGTTGCGAATCGAAATCGCTGCACGCTCTGGTAGCTCGGTTCTGAAAACCTAGCTCTCATGACCGCCGTTTAAAGGCCTGCTAACAAGGTGTGGTGCTGTCGCTTCGATTAGCGCAGCGCGGCCTCTCTTGCGCTCGAAATTCTAACAATAGCCCATCTTAAGGATACGGTACTTGTTAGTGTGGGGTAGAGAGTCAAGACGGTCTTCAGTCTTGCGCAGATTAAGGATTCTCGATGGAATCCGAAACGTCAGGAAGATAAAACTCTTATTCTAGTGGTCGCAACCGCTTCTTCTGGTTTTCAGTCTTTCTCGCGAGTTCGTCTGCAGTCAAATAGTCGAGGTAAACAACGAAATGGGTGATTTTCACGTAGTCTAACTAACGCCGTGGAGCAGTTGAGGGTCATTGGAACGGCGTATGGTTAGAAGGAAAGAGGCAATGACCAGCAAGCCGCAAATATTAATTCACAGGACAATGAGGGCACCGATGTGAGTCGCCTATATTATCGCCCGGCACATTTGCCGTGCGGACTAGGTCGTGTGTGGTACGCGTAAACGAACTGTTTGGCTTTGTCAGTCACTGTGTCTA